CCAGCAGTGTGCAGAGGTAAAGTGTTGAGCTATGTTTCAGTCCAACTGTTGGTTCATGTACTAGCTCTCGTAATTGTGCGCATGATGATGTATTCACTTTGGTGACTCTCTTTCTGCCTTGAGCCGAAGCACCCCCTCAACAGTTGAAAAGAGCCATGTCAGTGAGAAGTGTTTATTTGATTGGTAGCAATGCGACTGTAACGCACGCATTTCATAATAATTATGACAATTATCGTTTGTCAACCAGCAAGAAGTCTCTGTTGCTATGAAACTTGCCCCCTCTCTTGGTCCAGCTTAGCGCTCTTTGGGGCGTATTCATTTACAGTGTTAATATTCATACATGGTATTGTGATTATGTGCTGAATTTGTGCAATATGAGTCACTTGGAAATTCCAGAAATTAGGGATCCAAAAGTGTGACATTTTTGTGTCCCTGTTACATCTGACCTTTGTTACTTGACATGGAAATATCACTGGAATCGATTTCAAACTATTAGTATTTGTTTGGCAGGTGATTTGCATTAATTTATCACTCTTGGACATTAGAAAATGTGTTCTGAACTTACAAAATCAGATGTCAGATGTGACAGGGACACGAACAAAATGGACCTCTGGAATTACCCCCTTCTTTCTCAGCAAACCCTCCAATGTTGAAGATATACATGTACAGGGATGTCTATGACTGGTGTAACATATGGCACCATATACCACTCCCTTGACTGCACATTTTATGATAATCAACCTTAGTAGTGACCTTGTGACTATCTTGTGTCACAGTTCCCAGAAGTCTGTGCTCTACCCCAACTTCTTCAGTTTCCTGCGAGACACCTTGAAGGAGTCACCTGACAGTCACATGACCCTGGCTGAGCTCCAGGCACGTACCGAGGCCTGGCAAGGTGCGCCAGTCAGCGCCCTCAATGTCTGGTTCACGCTCATGGCTTCCTGGTCTCAAGCTGTCGGCAGCATGCTGAAGTTCCTGATTGGGGAATTACCAAGCATGCCAATTAAGTCACCAGTAGTGGAGTACAGTGACACCACGCATACTTGGGGCTGGATAGGTAATGCCTATGTGATAAAAGCAATTCAACGAGCATTTTATGTGACATGAACTCTTACTTTTGTGGTTTATGGAACTTTTTTAATGGAAACAAGTTGTTTTATTCTCCAAGGGGATGGAAGAGACTCAGATGAACAGCTGACTATACTGTTCAAACAATGGCTAACTGCAGTTCTAGAAGACAAACCTACTCCCCCTGAAGTGGAACGTCAAGCAAGCCCCACAGTGCCGAGTCCAATTAAAGTGTGAGTCTTCCATTGACATGGTTGACAGCGTAGAGTTTCATTTAAAAATGATGCTAACAACTTGAGAAGGTGTCAATATTTTGTTTTGTTGCTGCCGGAATCTGTGTCTTTAGACTTATCTAAAGAGATGGTGTTACTTCAGTGGTACCACGCTCAGGTACAAGTTTTTGTTAACTTGACACACGTGTGCATTTTTGCAGGAAGTACCCCTTGGGGCTAATTTCATGGTGCTGGGAAGCACATGATTTTGTGCTAACAGAGGCTCCACGTATGAGGGCAGTATTGAAAAAAGACATGCTAACCTCAGAGAAAACATTTACTGAACTTGGTGACACAACAGCGGAAATCTCTGTGCACCCTGGCAATTTCTTGTGTTAAAATAGCAACTGTAAAATGTTCGCCATGACGTGCACTACTGTTAAGTAAAATTTTGTGTTGTTTTGCTGGAGAAATTGCTTAACAGTAAACAGCACCATGAAAATGGGCCCTGTCGGCTCAAGGAGCAGGTAATGTACCCTTCCACACAAATGGCGCCTGGGCAGTAAGGACGTCGTACTGCAGTCATCGATTATTCTATAACATTTGCCCACAGTTTTTGGCATTTTATAGGCCAGTTATGTTGATAATGATATGCAGATATGCTGCATAATGGTTGGGGACTGTATTTGCATATCCGCTACATGTCTGCTGTTGACGTGGATATGCACGTAGGACTCACTGTGATATGATTTATTGATCAGTTGATTGAGATCTTTTTATTTGGAATGAATTGATTTATGTAGACGAACTGACTATGTTGTCCGACCCAGCACACTGGAGGAGAAAGCATTGTTTAGAGCACAGGTAATGCAAGTCTGCTGAGTTGGTCTTTTGCTTTGCTAGTTTTGAAAACAGTCGTTACGATTTATTGGAATGTCATTAGGAACCCTTTGTGGTTCAAACTACTCAAGGAGAATGTTAATTCCTCAGCCAGTTTATTTACATGTAGCTGCAGTTTTTTTGTGAAAACTATCGCAGTGCCTCAGCTTGTCTTAGACCAAGAGTGAAAGATGACAAATGCTGCAATAAAAACAAGGCACAAACAGATTGATGAGGACGAAAACTACCAGGAACTATTTCCTAGAATTTCACAAATGTTGATATGACATTTGGTTTGGTTGCCATCACCAGGAACATGAACGATATGAACAGCCCCATAAGGCTTATACATACCGCATGCATGGTTACAAGTCAGTTGTTGGACCAGTCAAGGGAGTTTATGGCAAGGAAACATCGCTGAACAAGGCAAGGGAACACTCACTACTTGTGTCTGATAGGCCACCGTACGTCACCATTCTATCACTTGGTAAGTTCTTAACGGACCAAGTAGACCTGTCATCGTATCCAAGAATTCTGTGAAGAAACCATGTTGAGAGATGACAAGAAAGAAATCTTCAGAATTAGAGGTTGGAGGGAACTGTGACGTGAACCTTTCTGCCAAAAACCTATAGCATCACATGGATTAAAATCCAATCACATATTGACATCGGAGGAATGTGATCATAGTTCACAGAAGCTGAATGTGTCACTGCTATAACCCACCTCATGCAGTATGAAAAGACATTTGTCTTTTCTCTTTAATAAAAATGAAAATTTCCTTTTCCCTATCTTCTGTCTCTTCCTAATAACTTAACTCTGCCCACATACTGAAAGAATACAGCAGTCCAACATACATGTATGTACCTTTGTAGAGACACAACTATCGGTTTAACTTCTTAAAGTTCTGAAGCAGTTGGAGAGCCTGATGTTTAACTCATCACACAATCCTGACAATTGTGTGTTTGCTCAACCTTAAGATTCCTCAGTCTGGGATGTTGTGATTCGTAAACCCTTAGTTTATGAAGAAACCTTCTATTTCACAAGGCCCTTCCTTTTGGCCATCTGGTTTTGTGGTTTCAGTTCGCGATGCAGTTGCTAGGTTACCAAATGGGGAGGGTACCCGGGCTGAAGTCTGTGAACTACTGAAGGATTCCAAGTTCCTAGCCGATGCCACAGATAATCAAATTAACACTGTGGTGAGCGGGGCACTAGACCGGCTACACTATGAGAAGGACCCATGTGTTAAATATGATGGCAACCGTAAGCTGTGGATTTATCTTCATAGAAATCGCACTGAGGAAGAATTTGGTAAGTCATCAGGCCAGTGCCAATTGTGTCTTTCATTTTTTATCTTAACACTCCTATGCTGAAGTCACTCTTTTGGGTCACTCGGTAAATACCTCAAAGAAGCACAGCTGTGTTGTGTTGTGCACTGCACCAACTGTCCCTCACAGGAATATCAGATTGCACTTTTGTGCTGCCCAACAACTGTGCTTTACTGTTTCATGTTCATAATTGTGCAGTAAACCAAATGCAGTGAAGAGGACTGCACAAAAGACCCTGGGTCATTTTGTGCTGGCAACCTACTGTGTACACACTGAACCTGTGCATGTTTGTGTTCTGTATAGAAAACGCATGCAAGAGAGTGACTGTGGGCACTTGTGTATATTTGCTGTAAAACCAAAGGAGGGTTAAAGTATAGAAAAGACATTCTAATGCCAAGAAGAAATTCTTGACTTCAAGCTTACTATTGATTCCTTAAAACTAATTACAATTAATCATTTTGTTTTTTATATAGCATAATAGCATGATAGTTGCACACAGCAGATGAACAGTCATATGCCTGTTGATTTGCTTGTAAAAGATTTGTATTACGGATAAAATATTGCATAATTACAGATAGTTGCATCATTAAATGGTTTGCTGTAATGAAACCACTTTCCATTTAAAAAGAAGTGCACTTTGTTTACAATTCATGTTCTTGCTTCTCGAGCATATACCATATGTGACATTTTAGGGACCACAAAGTTAACAAGCGGTATCTCCCTGAGCTGCTGTGCCACTAGAATCCTCCCAAATTCCTGATGGGCGTTAACCAATGAATATCTTTATTCCTGCATGACCTCATAAATATTTTATGATTCCATGGATAACTTTGTTTGCAAAGTTAAAAACGTGACTCATTGTGGGCCTGTTTTGCACGGGGCAGGCAGCAACTTGTACATTAAAACCTTCGTCTTGAGTTTGACTGTAATTTTAGGGATATTTTTGAAAGAGAAGGATAAAAAGATAACCAGGGCTAGAAGCCATTACTGCGGTGGCCTAGCGCTTGTGGACAGGTGGTCCACCTGCTACATGTATATGACTCGTCTACCAATAGGGTATTGCAGTTTACTGAAACCAGGCATGCGTCAAGCTGAAGAATGTGCGTGTGGTGCCATTGCAGTTATGGCATCTAATCAGAGTTATCTATAAAACTGAAAAAAAAATTTGTTCTGGCGGTCATTTGATTTGCCAGTGAGACACACAAGGCCAACCGGTTCCTAACCATCACCAGGTGATGCAATGTCTGTCTGATTTGTACGCTGTTTTCAGTGGGTATGTATTTGGTACGTTTGATCACTTTCAAAATGATTTTCTGAGTAATTTTAAATTGTTCAAAGCAAATTGTTCTTGAAACATTTACTTGCAGGTGACAAATCTTATGAACTAAACTCCGCAGGATGTGACAAGCCGTGCAAAATATTTCACTTCAGCAATTAGAGTGGTTCATATTACTAACAACTCTCTAAAAAAAAGTTGGATTGTGTAATCAGGGAGGAAATTTTCTATTGTTGATAATTCACAGAACGTCTTCACTTGGAGCAAGCCGTCTCTGTTAAGGCCAAGCGATCCATACAGAAGCAGCCTAAACTGATGCATAAAGCAGTAAGTAATTTGTGGTCTCCAACTTTGGTGGGTTTCAGGCTTAAGGGGCAAGCACGTGTACTTTTGGCAAAAAAACATTACCCAAGGTCATGACTTCTACTAGTGTAGAAAATGTGGCAGAAGGGCTGTGACCGATGAGACCAAGTTTGAAAAGGCCTTGTACCAAATGTGCGCCAGCCAAATACTGGGAGAGTTCTAAACTGGCCAAGGTAACAAGGGGCCCATTCCAAGCCCTTAGCAAATTTATTTGTTAAGTACATTTCCACTGAGAATTACTCTCAAGCTCTGAAGCTGTGGTGATCGGCATTCTGATTAATGTTTTGAGTAGAAACAATAATGTGCAGGAGGTTTTGGGTCTTCTTAGAATTGCCTTGGGTTAGGATTGATAAAGGCCTGACCAAAGGACGTGGCTAGAGCTGTTTATGGAGAGAATTGGGATACGAGTGCCTGAATTATTGAAACCAAAATGGCAGATTGTGGGTCAGTGCACAATGAGCATAAGAACTGTATATTGTACTGCACATGTGCACATATAATGGACAGCCATTTTGGTTCCAAATTCTAAAGTTGTTTAAGTTGGTTCTTTTGGGATGACTGAAGGGTCGGTTGTAGGGCATAGCTAGTGAAGTGTGGTCTAATGTTTAGGACAAATTAATTTTTTTTTTTTGAGGGCTGCACTGAAGTGAAACTGTTTTTATTGTTTGTTAAATTATCCTAGAAGACTGTCATCAAGGACATGCAGCTGTTCCATCAAGCTGTTCGCCCTCCCTCTGTTCTGAGCGATACCAGTAATGACAGTATCATCAGTGTTGGCATGGGTCTGGAAACACCCAGTCCATCCCGTTCCCCTGGGAGTTCTTCCATCAGTCCTCACAGCTTTGCCAAGAGTCCTGCCTCCAGCACCACTCAGAGCCCCATTGCTGGCATCCTGGCTGGCAAAACAGGCAAGAGGGGAAGTAAGGTGGGTGCCACCGCCCAACCACAGGTGCTACAGAGGCACCTGTCATCACCGGCGGCAATCTCTGGAAGCCAGGCGCTCTCCCCACAGGTTCAAGCGCTTCTCACCCACGCCGCCATGCCCAGCGTTCTGGTGCCTACTTCTGCAGCCAGCAGCGAGGCCGGACCTTACCAGAGTGGGAACTCCCTGATCAAAGCACAGCTTCTGGCACCGCGGGGATTTGTTGCTCAGCTGACCAGCCAGCAGCTTAGTACCTCCGTGCCAAAGAGCAGTCAGGCTGTGAGAACCATCACCACTGCCACGCAGATGTCAGCAGTACCTGTACCCCCACTCATGGTGGGTCAACTCCTGTCCCATCCGGACCAAGCCCAGCACCAATCCACTGAAATCCCAGGTAGAACAGGTGATATGGTCTCCTCTACCAAACCAGGCTTGGTACCGTCAACCAACCAACCAATAACTCTGACACTTACAGGCGCTAATACTGTCTCCGATAAATCCAAGACCCAACCCTCGAGCACCATCCCTGCAGCTCTGGCCTTCCATTCCAAGCCGGGGACTCTCCCCGTGAATGTAACGCTCACCCTTAAGGGGGCCACAGAGGAGAAAAAGGCAGCAACAGGTGGGGGTACTTCACGGGGACACGGTGGAAAGACGAAACTGCCAACGGTGGGAGGTCTCCTGGCAGGACTAGGAATGCCACTGGAAGGAGTCTCTACATCAAGAGTTGGAAGGAAGTCCTCATCAAAGGCTAAATCTCCTCCGCGTGCTTCCGTCTCAAAAGCAGCAGCATCCCAGAGCTCCATCCAATCCCCTGTCTCCAGGAAGAAGTCCCAGCCAAAAGCTGAAGCACCTGCCATTGACAAGGTCCTCACCCTCCAGGCTGTCACATCGGCTACTTTGGTCCCTCCTCAGAAGCCACCCCTCCTCGCCTCTCCAATGATCGTGGGCAGTGTTGCAGCTGGTGTCCATCAGCCGTCAGCCTCAGGGCTTATCTTCCAACCCCAAGTTGCAGCCACCGCCAAGCCTTCTTCAACCAATTCCAGTAAGACAGCCACTCTGACAGTCACTCAGGCCTCTGCGATCCGTACACTGACATCCCTAGCCTCACAGCAGACACTTCAGGACAAACCTCACCTTGACAGAAGCAACATTGCAACCAGTCAACAAACCCACTCTGAAATCCCCTCCATACCTATGTCCCTGTTCATGGCTTCATCAGGACCTCAGGGTGCAACTATGGGCCAAGGGGTAAAATCAGTGTCAGTGGTGGGATCCCTGCACCAAGGCGCAATCCCCTTGATCACAAACCCCTTGCTGTCTACAGGTATTCCAGCCAGTCTGACACCGGGGAAGGGTGTGATTCTTCAGGTCCCCATTGGCTCCAAGCGGGTCTCTGCCATCCCAGCTGCCATTAGCAAACAGAAATGCACTGCTCCTGTCATCCTGACCTCTTCAACTTTGACCTCTTCTCTCATGACCCCAGTGGTAACTCAGGAATCAACCAATGCATCAAGAGATCAGACTGAGCCATCCACAAAGAAGTCTGAAGAAGTTTCTACAAACCAAGTGGCCAAAGACTTCTCCAAGACTCCCTGAACCAATGTAATGATTTCCCCTATGATCCCCTCTGATGAATTACCCCTTCATCATCTAAGCAGAGCCAGGCTAGTGGGATCATTTAGATTGGTTGCCTGATGTGCAGGCTGTTTCCATCCATTGCACGATGAAGATTTTTATTCTCTTATGGTCTTATACTCTTGCCAAGCATATGCGACCTGTCACGACAAACTGAGCGTAAAGTTGCTTTCAGCCGTTTCCTATTATGAGGGTTTAAAATCAAATACACTGTATTGAAGTGGAGGTCAATATTTGGATTTTGTAATATTTGGACAGAGAAACCTGTCAATTCAATTTTTTTTAGCAGGATCAGATATTTCAAATTGTCATTTCCTCAGCAATTCTGATGATAGCATTATTTTTTGCGTGGTCAGAAATGTTGAAACAGACACAGAGCTGCTAGACAAATGTCACACTGTCACCTTATACTTTTACCCTAAGTGTTCCTATAGGTGTACAAAGCTCTCTTCTGCTGCATTTAAAAATACCAACTTATCAATTTTTGAAACTTCCGACTTTCTGCTCATTTTTTAGTGACATGTCATACATGTATACGTATTGTGACTGTGGAAAGTTTCAACACAGAAAACCCTTGTGAAAATACACCTTTTAGGTGTTACAAATGCAAAGGTAGATATTTGTCATTAAATTTCAAGTGTCCATGAACATATTTTATTAATATTGATTTTAAGACATACAAACATGCTAATGTCGAGTTTAGAATGATATAATGAGGGTACATGATACAATATACAAGATATAGGTAGAATTACAGATTTAAGAGAAATCATGTCACATTTGAATTGTCAACTTTTCAGTGAGTTTGGTGTTTATAACAATTGCTTTTCACAAGTGGGGTTTCCCAGTTTAGTGTTTCCGAGGTCGACAGTTTGGTAGTTTCCACTGTTATTTACGGTTGTTTAATATTTAAAAACAGACTGAACATTATCAAGATATGGAAAAAAGCTTGGTCGAAAGACGAATCCTGCAGTCTCGTTAAAAGAAACTTTAAATAAGCAAACTCATAAAGTATTACGTGCATATAAACTACTGGAAGGTTTGATTGGTCAGTTTTATGACTTCATCAGCAAATCAAAGAATGCAAGTATTTTCAGCGGAAATTACACAGTAGCCAAGTGGTATTTTGTTTTTGAAATTGTTGGTGAAATTTCAAGTCATAAACAGCTGTACATGTTTTGTTTGTCTAGGCAAAATCATGGGAGAAAAAAAACTTCCTCTCCATATGAACATTCTAGCTTACTTTTCACTTTTCAAATGATTTGCACAGAGAAATATCGAAAAATTATTCATTTCTCACCAAAGGGATAGAATTATCTACTGTATAGAATTTTAACCAAGTCAGAATGGTTCAACCGAGCACTGAAATAGAAAATATTGCCCTTCCATTTCTTGAATTAAAATCTTGTAACTAATACATTGTACATGTACAACAGACACTGTTTCACTATTGCATTAACATAATTCTTGAATATCCAATGTGTATACTCACAGTTTTTTTTTTTTTATTTTTTGCGTATTTGTGGCGATTGTTTCTTTTTCAGTAACTGATCAGTGGGGGAATCTTAGTATCTCTTTTGTTTATTCTGATCATTCAAATCAAGTTGTCTACACTACAAGAAGGTACATTGACTATACATGTATACAGCTTCTTTTAAAAGTTCACTTACAAGCCTACTTTGCCAACAAAGTTAAGTTTCGCTGTCTACGGATTTGTGACTAGCATTCCTTCCTGCAGTTAGAAATTTACATATGCTTTTATTTTTACGTAGAAGCCACAGACATGACAGATGTGAAGCATAAATTTTGCAAGCAGCAACAGTTAGTTTGAAATTTGAAACCCTTTGTCGTTTTTCTCGGATGTCTACTCTTAATGTCGCTTCATTTGGTGCACCTCAGAATCACGGCTGAAATCCTGACCCAACTGCAATCAGTTCAGTCTCCATTACTGTGCCTCTTATCAACTAAAACATTTTCTTCAAAAATTCAAACAGATCATATTCATTACCTTTATTATTGGAAGAACTTTTAAAGACTTTAATTTGAACACTTGACAGGTTTAATCGTACGTGTACCACACGCATTGATAGTCGATGGTTATTAACACAAAAGGAACATATGACCCAGTGTAAATACTATGCTAATGTTCAGACAGAACAAAGCAAAGTCTTTTCCAGAATTTAATCAGAATTGATTATTTGTCAGTTAAACCTACTATGAACAACGAACTACGTGCACTTTGTTGTTCTTTTTTATGAAGGCACACAACTAATCTTCTACAGATATTAACTAGTTTTCCTACTTTAAACATTATCATAGAAGTACGTGTACACGGCCTGTACAGCTAGCATCCAACGCTGCTCCTCATCGAACTGACAACCAGGCACAATCCATTGTTTACGTACGCAGATAGACGGAGCAATGATGAAACACAATAAACCTAGATCTCAACTAGATTGATAGGTATGCCAAGATGCACTAGGACTTCGTTGAAAGCAAACAATGTGAAAATCTCCTTAATGCAGTACTGTTGCACACTTCCTAATAAGACTACTAGTCGAAAATGACACATTTTAATGTCAATATTGGTTAAACATGATTTGTGCAGTGTGATTTTAAAGTTCAAATAACATGTACATGTAAGTCCTATTTGCAAATGGCGAAATAACTGGAAAAATAAAAAGTCACCTTGGTTAAAAAAAAGGAAACAAAAAATTCTTCTCTTGCGCTAAACTATTGTCAAAGACGTCATTATTTAAACGAGACAGGGTGTGTGGAAAACTCCACGAATGTTTAAAATATGCATGGTTACAATTATGAAGGACTACGTACACGAGAGAAAAAGTAAGACGACAATGAGCGTACAAACTATGACGAGTGAAAAGAACAATGGCAGAATCATTATCGTAAATGACGTCATTATTTAAAAGCATGAAATTGCAATTTACATGGCCGTAACACTTTGTAATCACTACATGTAAGTTATTGAGACACAATGGATAATATATATGAAAGAAAAAGTAAGACGACAGAACACAAACTACAATAATAATTGTTTCCATATTAAGCTATCAATTTCAAAGTATGATAATGCAAAAACTTTTACATAAGCACAATGATCCATTTTAACAGCAAAACGAGACCCCAAATGTCATGAAGTTTACGCAGTCCAATTTCGTCTCCCAGGTCGCGAACTCCAGAGAATTCGGCCAACAACTGATTTTGTTCTGTATCTCCGTTTTTTGTGTACATCTTTAAGTGCATTTTGGTTCCTTTCTCACCATTCCAACCAAATGAAAACAAAATCGCGTAGCAAAGTCTTGATAACAACTGATTATAACTGTATTGAAACATGATGAACGGTGGATTTAAGGTTGTTTTCAAATTCTAATCTAATTGATAAGAAAATTCCATCGGATTGCGTTATACATTTTCGGAAGTTATTGTAAATTAAGGTAATTAGAATATTTGCTGCTATCATGGGATTTACTATATCTACCTTAGAAATGCACTCAATTCTCAAAACCATATTTGCAACAAATGAAGACAAAGGCCAAAGATACCAATATACATGTATATATCTAATAACATCATGCTCTAAGTGTAAGCAAATTCAAAATAATGAAATAATGTTGTAGATATGTTACCAAATTTATACCCAAAATCCCAGCCCTAATTCCTACATAATGGTTTGGTCTTTTTTAGCTAATTCATATCAATACAAAATCAAGGTTGATTTTTAATAGGAATTCAAACACATGGATCGGAGCTCGTAGGCTTACAAAAGTAGCACTAACCCCCCCCCGAACTAACAAGATTTATCCACATTTAAAAACTGGTTCGCTTTGAATATACATCTATTCTGCTTAATATTTTCCCGTATTTTCCCATTTCAAGGCAATCGATGTTTGTTTAACAGTTTCATAAATCATTTCCTGAATTCCGGCTAAAAGACTATTTGAAATACACGGGTGAACAAAATTAAGTATAAGGTATCCGTTTACAAGTCTTATAAGCCAACAGCTAAACTGCTTTGTTGAGGGTTTGATGACAGTATACAATTTAGTCATTTCCTTCCACCGTTTTGTTAAGTGACTGAGGATCAAAATGCTTTTTAAAAACAATTTCTAAGTAAAACAAAAACAGCAGATCACTGGTGTGAGTACACGTTAGGAACAACCTAGCAGAAGGATCAGAAAATGCTGTACAAAATTCTTTGACCTGACTGTGTTTAGGCCTTGTCTGATTCAGCTGTCTGTCGTAGATAGTGGATGTCCTCGCTAGCCAGTAATACCATACACGCTTGGTATAACTTGTTGCAAGACTTCAAAACTCAGCCTAATGCATGTCAGTTTCATCGATAAACTTGATAAATAACGGGTGATTTTAAAAATAAAATCCCCAGCTATGTCTCCAGCTCCATTTTCAAACTACTTTTTCTTATTATACTTGAGTTCCGATAATGAAGATTCTACTCAACACACCCTCATTATCTGCCGCAAGAAATTCATGACCATCGTGTTCAGTCCACGTTTAGGGTATTTGTCTTTCAATTAAAGCACTGAAGTCTTCTGAATGTTTATGGAACCCAAGACAAAACTCGGCCTTACAGACTAATCCGATAATGAGAAGGGGTTCTTGACCTTTGTCTTTATTTAATCAATGTCGATTTTACCAGCTCATCTGAAAGAGCATCAACTTATCAGGACTTGCCAGTACAAGCACCTTGTTCCCTGTAATAGCTGCGTCTATAACATCCCGAACATTTCCAAGCACTGAACACCCTATGAAGGTGCCATCTTGGATGTACTGATGTACATGAACCTCCTCAGGGGCAGACTTCACTGACAAAACTACGATTATGTAATCACTGCCATCACTACAAAGGCCAACGCACTTAATATCTTTCTCTTTAGCTGCTTCTACTGTAGGACTGATGGAGAAATTAATGCAAGTTGCCTCGCTGATTTCCAAACTTTGGACAATCGGTGGACTCCTTGAGCCAATAAGAAGTTCTTGGTCTCTCCATGAAGCCAAAAAGTCGGGATTTATAGTAACAGACTGGCCCCAAATCCTGCGACCTTCAGAGAAATCCAGTAGCATGATCATTTGCTTACCGCTGAAGCTAATGGTAAATCTGTCCTTTCCGTAGCTCGCAATAGCAACGATTTGTTGCCTGTAGAACGGCCCAAGGGGCAATCGTTGCAATGTTCCTTGCCAATCAGATTTTGGTCCAAACAGGTTTGTCCATATCGAATCCTTTTTCTGTGTTGCGCAAAAACAGCTTCCATCCGGAAGTGACGCTACCCAGTGATCTAATCCACAAACAAGAAACAAAGAACATACTAATTGAAGTAAAAATGCAAATTCTGAGGGTGTAGACTGAAAAGTCGTTATTTTGGAGCCATCAGCTGTCAAGATATAATAATTACAATAATGTTTTACTGATAACCATGACTACATTAAGAAACAAATCTATGCACACATGTTCAGCGTGTATCAAGTTAGTTCGTATAGCTCGATAGATCCTTTTACATTATGCCGGTTCGTGCCACCATTAGGCGAGTTTTGGTGTCCGTAAACCAATGATGGATCACTGATCATGCTTTGAGGCTTTGTGGACTTCCAAAATTTCAAAATGACTAAAAATGCACTGAAATAGGGAGGGAAATTGTAAAACAAAGCTACAAACACACCTCTGCAGTGCTTCACTCAAGATTTGTCGCCGGGAGAGGCAGACTTGGACGGAGGTTTGTAATTGAGGGAGTTCAGACCTGAATTGCCCTGAAATAATTCATAACTCGTAACGCTAATGCTCCAGGTTACATTTCAGGGGAATGGGATGATTTTTCAGAAACAAACAAAAACATCATAAAAATAACAAATAACCTCTTGAGAAGAGGCTAAAGCCCCCTATGCAAAAGAGATAATAAATAAAGCAGTTGGTGTGATAGTAGAGCATTTGTCTTCTCTATGTGGCAAGGTAAAATAGAGTATATTCTCGACACCGAGTTGAAACCAGTGATGGTCCATGGTTGTACAGTACATTTCGTTTCGTTTCATTTCATATTGGTTTATTAAAATCCATTTTCGCAGTTAAAAAACTGAATTACAATGGACTTAACAATTAACATAAAAATAACCAATTAAAACAAAAATTTTTAAAAATCAGAATTAAATAGTTACAAAATATTCAACAGCATCTACCATTACAATTTACACTCACAAAATATTAAACCATGTAACATGACTAATGACCAGCATTTGATTACTACCAGAGTTGTTCAAATTAATATTTCATTTTCATATTTCCAAAGGTTGTGTCCGCATGAAGTGTGTAGACATAAATGATTTCATAATATGGACTTCATCAGTTTATCTGCATTCACCATACTGCAGTTTGATAAACCTGATATTCATTGAATTCCCCTTTCTTCTTTATTTAAATCCTACCAAGCTGTGCTTTGAAAACTAGGGAAGCAAATTCGAAAGGTGTAGTGTGTTACAGGGGGTTCATATATTTTTGCAGGGTTTAAACACAGTACATGCGTTTAATACCAAACCAGTGTGTTGAATTTGCCTTCTGAAGTTCGAGACAGATTTTTCTTAAAAACCCTATGGCTGTCGATATGGTTGATTCATATTCTTTTCAAGCAATTTAAGTTCATATAGATCGAGCGTTGCGGGCATGACGGAGGACGCTATTCTTTTTCGGAAAAATGAAGGCCTACTGATGAATTATTCTTGTGATAAATTGTCAATTTACAAAATGCCACTGGTGCTTTTAGTGGGCCTTTATACATATGGTATTTTATTTTCCTTTTTGAACTGGAAAAATGATTTCAAAACAGAATTGAAATACCTGTATGAATGACACATTTTCTTTCAAATCTGGTCTTGGTCTATTTTCCCCAAAAATATCATATTTCGGAATTTATTTCCAATTTTGTACAATCTTGATAACTTATGCGGTGGTTCAATGTTGTCAAATCCATTTTGGATTATCTCCATGAACTTTATTTTCTGAAAAAAGTTACTGTCTTTTTCCGTAAACAAAAATGTCGGCCTACCTTCGGCGTCGTCTGCTTCGACAGTCCGCAGCAGATTGATCAAGTGCGCATGCGCTAAATCTGAACTAAATGGTACACAAGGCATGAGAGTGAACGTACGAGAACATCTTTAAAAACTATTGATCCAATAACTAAGGCTTCTTTGTGGTCTCGGATTAAAATTCTCGGGCTTTTGTAGAATAGAGCTGCGTTTTGTGGTATGAAACTTGACTCAATATCATCAAAGTATCACAGATGTAACTTTTTCTGACAGAGTGTTTAATTGTGAAAAACTACAATGTAAAAATGAGTAATTTATTATTGAACAAATACAATGTGGGACTAGAAGATGTATTAAGAAAACCATGGCGGGAAATAAACCAACAGAAAAATTGCCAAGCACATTGGTAAACTGAATGGGTACGCGGGGCAACTGAGTCCATCCAAAGACTGTGAACCTCTAAATTAAGTTGTTCCAAAGGTCTGCAGGCAAGGGTGTCATAACGGGGGCGGCCTCGGGCGCCAGCCGCCGAAAACGATCCATCTGAAAACGAGATAGAGCATCAGCGATGCCATTATCGAGACCAGGTACATGGCGTGCCTTAAAGTGGATATTTAACCTCAAACAAAGCACTACAAACATACGAACCAATTTCATAATTCTGGGACAC